TTATTAACTATTAAACATGTTTTTATAATTTTCTTTTAATTGTATCGGATTTCGTTGTTATAGTCATTGTAAATTATAATGTCTGAAACCGTTTAATGACATAAATGTCTATCACGGAGAAAAAAGAATCGTTCCTTATACCAGGCATGAGCATTTTACCTATTTCACCTATTTTCCAAGTCGCAGATAAAATGTGATTTTCGTAGTAGCAATTAGTTTTATCCCGGTAACAATGACACATCGTCTTTTTAGGGACGAAACTATGTGTTACCACAAAAATAACATGGTAACCACAACCAGAAAAGTAATTAGGACCTGGAATCAACTATGAGCATTATAACAGCAACGATTCGTTTTTCTTCATGGCTATGGTAATCAAACCTTCGGCACATTTTCCACACGTCTTAAATTAGACTAAAGAAGGGGGGGTGCGCGTGCGCCCCCTGATCGCTTTGCGGTCGAACCCCTCGAAGCACTTCCCGCCTCGAGCGTTAAGCGTTACGCATTACTCTGATGATTTCGTATAATAAAATGGACGTATTTCTGCCAAACGGAAGTATGTGCATTAAGAAATGACCCCACGAGACCCATAAGGATGTATGATGCATAAAAGGGCTCACATCATAATGCACATAGTTCCGTTTGGCAGAAATGCGTCCAAATATGATTTGAGAGAATTCCCATTCATAAAGTTAGCATCCTAGTTTCAAAAGAGGGCATGTATTAACCTTCCAAGAGAATTCACAATATTAACCAGACGTTTTTCCGTACGTCAGTGAAAGTCCTAAAAAAAACCAGCAATCTGGTAACACCGCAATAGAACAGGACGGCCAAAAAAAAGGAAACTCAGAAGAAAAAGGCCGTGTAGCCCCCTCGTTTCCTTAAAATACCCCCTCCCGTCATCGTCCGGCAAGCCGCATTTTTGGGGACAAAAAGCGAGCCGATCGCGACGTTTTCAGCTCGTGTTGATATTCCAGATGACTTAGAGTGAGGTGAAAACGGAGCATCATCCAGGGCAATCAGACACCAGTGCGGGCGAAGACAATGCGGTCTTGTCGACGTAATTCTAAGATTCGGCCGGTGCGACCCGTCTGAAGTTGGGCCCTGCACCTTTTGGCCGAAACCGGGCGGAGAAAGGGCCGTGAGCGTTTGCACTGGCCGCGGCCCAGCGCTGCCGCTGCGTTCCGCGGCATTTCCCAGAGGATCGAACGTTGGGGACGCTGATTAGAATTGTGAAACTTGCCTACATCGCGACGAAGAGCAAGAGGCCTCTTGGATCTGGCCTGTCTCTTTTTGAGGGACTTGTCCCTCGGTTGACCTCGGGATTTTGGCCCTTTCCTCCTTTTCACCGCCTTTCCGCGCTTTCTCTTTTCCATCATCTAGAGGTTGCCGAGTTTCCCTCTTAAGATGGTACCATCCATTCTATAAACGATAAACCAAATGATTGGTAATTGGCTGAGCTTGGGATTAATTTTAGTCGTGACGTGTTTTTTTTTAAAAATAAAACGTGAAGCTAGTGAGCTTAAATCAGCCTAAACTTTAGCATGAAAGACGCGAATCCAAACCTCGTGTATCATGTCGAGCGCTATTTGTCTCCTTTACATATTTTTTTCGCCAATTAGACAATTTATGTCAAATTAGGTACTCAATTTTGTACATAAAATTACAGCACAGGATCTAATTTAAACTGACGTTCCAATTATCAGGAAACTACTGAAAGTTGTATCGATTTCAGCCTTGTGCCGATTGAATGAATGATTGAACAGAATGTACAGGGTTAATATGTACCATAGTATAATATTTCGACAAAATTGTTTTCATGCTTATGGCAATGAATGTTGAACTGTTAGCAATTGGATTTATTTCTACTAAAGGAAACTATAGACGAGTGAGAAGGATGGGTTGTGCTCTAGGAAGGTGCATAAGAAGCAATGTAAAAGTGGGCATGATTTCTTTTAGCAAAATGGAAAAAAGGGATTTGGCAATAATTCGGAAAAAACTAATCGTCAAAATATGCTAACTCATGAGCCGTGGGCATGTGATAAAAGCGTTTTGGACAGGGCTCATGAGTTAAAAACCGCATTGCCGGGTGTCATCGCTCCCATCGTCGTCGCTGACGTCACTGGCGTTTCAGAATTCCCATTCATTCTTACGGCCCTCGATTAACGAGTACACCCCTTCTTTCCCACCTGTCTCTGGTTACATTTAGCAGAAATGCGTCCAAATTTTCTGAGCATATTTTTCTTCACCTCTTTTCTTCTTACTTTTAGTAAACTTCTCAAGCATCACACATCTCGATGGATGCGACTATAATTCAATTATGTTGCTTGATGCTCGCCGCGGCTAAATCTCTGAAACAGCCGGAACTAAAAGTCACGGTCGAAAGGTTAAGAGTGGTAGTTATCCATCCCAGAGCAAGATCATACCAGATCATGAGATCGTTATCCCTTAAGGAGAAGGATCATAGCAACCCGATAGTTGTTAGCTGATCTGATTTCATACGCTTAACTTCATGCCTTCGCGAGGTTATACAGTGTGTTTCCTCAGACAAGACGCAATCTTTGCAGGCTTAATTTCTAAATAGAAAAAAACTTCCATGATCTCTGTCTTCCTTTTTTCTCAGAGGAAACGGTCCTTTTTTCTTTAATGCTTCTTTGTCGAACGAAATAAACAATATTTTTCTCTTTCATTTTATCGGAAAATATATGGCTTCGCTTAAAATTTTAATTATTTGGCATCGGTGTTCCGGAGAAAGACCTACTTTTGTAACTATCATTGTTTCGTTACCCGGTCTGCATGTACTTTTCAGGAATATTTCCGGGGTGCTAGTCATGAAATCCTATTTTAAAATTTGAATTATACAGATAAATAACCATCTAATAATAGTTCATCTAAACTTAAAGTTTCTTCATTTAATATTCACGAACGAATAATCGTCATCTTGCGAATAATATAGCGACGTCATCCGCATCCGTCATGCGTAACGTGTAGTTACTCCAATGACGTTTTCAACTACAATATTATATTAGGAAGTGAGTAAAATCTCCATGATGCAATGAATGTATAGAGGCTGTTCAGCGTTCTCAGTCAGTTCACCTCCAATTCCAGAGATAGGCCAGAAATCAACCTTCGTGCTGCAATAGTTGCGTACTCGAACATCGGTCATGTACCTTGTTTGTCTCGCGGGAAGCCACAGCAAAAATTCGCCAGCTGACTTAGCCGTGACGATCTTGATGCTACGACTCTCTTTCTATACTGAAGTAAGAGTGACTGATTGTAAATAAATTTGATAAAAATAACTTTTCACTCTTCAGTTTCTTTTTAGAAGTCATTTTTCCACAGCGTACATACAGAAAATGCCGCAAGGTTACTCTCTTCGTAGTTCCGTCCCTTATGTACCTAGAGATGCCAAATGCCAAAACTTGCATCATCGATTGACAAGGAACCCTTGATCATTTTCTTGTGGTAGATGACCACATTCGAATTTTTCCAAGTTGAACTGAAAGTATGTCACACAAAAATTCCAATCCCAACCGGTGTACCTTATCACTCATCAACTGGCACTGCCTCGGAGAAATACCCTGTACAGTGAGAGCAGAGGGAGGAATCACGTATAACTAGAGGGAAACATTACTCCTCTCCTCTCTCTCTAACAAAAGTTTGGGACGGAAGTGAAAGAGAGAGAGATGGCGTTGGGGAATTTTTTTTCTCAATTCGGGATGCGACTGCCGTGAGGGACGTGTCTCCCCGATCTCCCGTAATTGATTCACTGAACCCGAAAGATCTGACAAATTAGGTTAAATAACCATGGCTAATCCTCCTTCATTCACACACCTCCGGCCGAATCAATTTGAGGTTTTTTTTCTCCTTCCGTCCTACTCCAATCGAACACCGCCCGATGTTGCCATTCGGTTTTTTATTAATGATTTTGTCTAATTACCCTTTTCCGAGTCCGTCACTCGCATTCCGATCTCCAATCGTCAGTGTTGCCATTTTTAAGTAGAATTTATGGATCATCCCATATGATGAGGGTGGATGTTTCCAAGGTACAAGTAAAATTTCATCGTGATGTGGCCTGTATCATATTACACTTGAGTAAACAAGACGGTAATTTTCCTGTTGAAAGTCTTATGGAATAATATCCCCCAATAGCCCAGGCCCGAAAATTTTCAATTGAATCGGAGGGAAGGTTTCTATGCTTGGAATAAAAGAATCGAAGGAAAACTTGCCTAGTTAAATTTGGCAACAAACTGATGTCACTTGACCACCCCTTCCCCTCCACGAGAAAGACTTGCTGCTAAATCTTACACTTTATTTCAATACCTCGGTAAAAAGCCAAACGTTCAATAGCTTGTGTTCAAGTGTATATTAAGAGTTTTATTTTTTTCCTTTTTTTTCATATTTCCATTTTTTATCATTCGTAGCAATGTAAGACACGCATCAATGAGTATTAAAAACGTGGAAATATTTCTCGGTAATTTAATTTCACTGGAAAAAAACACATTGGATCTACAGTCCAGACTCATATAAACATCGACAAGAAAAAGTACTCTTGATTCAATCAGAATCTAGCTTAAATCAAGAACCAAGCCTCTTAATTTAAGCTGATTTTGTTTTGATTCGAGCAAAAATCCGATTGAATCAAGAGTATTTTTTCTTGTCAATGTTTTCAAGAGTCTGGACTCTAGATCCAATGTGGTTTTTTTTCAGTTTTCTCAGTCTACTTATTCGCTGTTGCAAGGAAACACAAGATGTAATAAACAGTGGTAATTTCAATTGAGCAACTATTCGTGCTTTGCAGCACGCTTTTGGCCTATACGAACATTGGAAGGCGAATGTTACTTCATGGCCCATTCTATTAGTTGCAAATTAGTTCTTTTGTACATCGGTAGTGGAATAAAAGTTAACATCGAAAAAATGTTGGTAAATGTACAGGAGCGCTAGTAGGAGAGTGGCACTAAATCTAATCGCTGCGGGGGCGTTGCGTGGTGGCTTGAGCGATGGCCAAAATCAGAGTGTCCAGTTGCTCTGGCTCAGGGGATGATCATTATGAAGGAAAAGATGGTGAAGAAAAAGGTAAGGAGCAATCCGTGCCAGGCTAACGGTTGTTCACGAGGTCGAGGAGTCGCGGACAAGGGTGCTTCCTGGCGCGGGGTTGAAAAGGTAAAAAGGTGCTAAAAGGAAAAGATAGAAGATGAAAAGGTGAGACAGGCGCTAGGCTAATGAATAGAGATAGATATGAAGAGGAAACATGGTATGGCACCGTGCTAAGGTATAGGTAGGAACACTACAAAAGCGAGGGCCAAGCCTCAAATTTTAAGCAAATTTCCTCTTGATTCAAGCAAAAATCTGATTGAATCAAGAATATTTTTCTTGTTAATTTTTTTGAAAGTCTGAACTCTGGATCCAAGCGACGTTTTCACAGTGGGGGATGGGCCGAAGGAGACTCAGGAGGCTGGCCCTCAGAGCGTTTCAATCCATTCATTTTTTCAACCTTAATTTTCATGTCACTACTGATACACAAATGAACTAATTTGCGACCATTTGAGTGGGCTATAAAGTAAGATTCGCCTTCAAATTTTCGTATAGGCCAAAAGCGTACAGCGAAGCACGAATAGTTGCTCACTTGAAATTACTACTATTGATTTCATCATGTGTTTCCTTTCAACAGCGGAGAAGAAGGACGAGAAGCGACTTTTTTCCAGTGTCGGTAAGTGGATCGAGTCAATTAGAGAGGTCGGACATGAACTTTTTGACTCAAACTACAAACTTTGATGTTTATTTCGTCACATTTTAAATTTTAAGGGGGCAAATGGAAAAAAAACCTCACGAGGAAACCGATGGAACCACTTTTAGAACCTCAAAGTTTTGTAAAAACGGAGCTATGAGCGTTTAAAGGTTCCAAATTTTGTCCGACCGCTCCTATTGACACGATCCACTGTGTGCCAGAGAGCGGTATACACTGGTAAAAAAAAATACATTGGATCCAGAATCCAGACTCTTAAAAACATCGACAAGAAGAAGTACTCTTAATTCAATCAGATTTTTGCTTAAATCAAGAACCAAGCCTCTTAATTTGAGCGGATTTCCTTTTGATTTAAGCTTAAATCTGATTGAATCAGGAGTACTTTTTCTTGTCGATGTTTTTAAGAGTCTGGACTCTAGATCCAATGTGTTTTTTTTCCAGTGTATAAAATAAAGGGTAGAGAAGGAAACCATCATTTTCCAACAATTTCTGAACAAGGATGGTATTTTTCTGTTTCAGACTCGACGAAAGGCTCGACGGCGAACAAACGAACACGTCAGACGTACTCGCGGCTGCAGACGCTGGAGCTGGAAAAGGAGTTCCACTACAACAAGTATCTGTCGCGCAAGCGTCGCATCGAGATCGCCCACGAGCTCCAGTTGAGCGAGCGCCAGATCAAGATCTGGTTCCAGAACCGCAGGATGAAGCTCAAGAAGGAGCTGGTCGCCACCAAGAGCGGGGACATGGACCCGGGACTCGCCCCTCCCCCGCCGCCCCCGCAAACCACCCACCCGCCCTACGACCACGAATTCGACCACAGCCACAGTTCTAGTCCCTCCAGTTATGATCACGCGCATGGGATGTTGCAGATGCCCTCCCTTATGTCCATGTCGTAGTAACTCCATGATAAAGTCGAGTACCACTTATCTGCCATGCTAAGGAAGAACGCCGTATTAGCCCTCCGGCGTTGCCAAGTTTCATTCGATAAAAATCGAATTTACTGGGAAAATTTTGAATTTTTTTCCCCAACCTTTTTTAGACAATTTTGTACGCAATTTACTCTAAAATATCTGAAAATTTCAAAGAGAAATGTGCATAAATACATAAAAAATACATGTTTTATCGAAGGAAATTTGGCAACTCTCGAATGTTCATACGGCGTTCTTCCTTAGCACGGCAGTTATGTTAACAATCAATGTATATCGATCAATTTGACTAAATTTTGAAAATATCGCTCGCATGGAATATTGCAGATGTCCTCGCTCATGTCCATGTTGTAGTATCTCCATGCTTAATTTGAGAACCTCTAGTGTTAAAAATCAATGGAGGGACTTGGAGGACAAGGCGCATAAGTGCAGATTTTAGAAAAATTGAACTATTTATGATTTCAAGTTAAATCAGTCTTAATGCATATTTTGTGAAAAATTTGCTCCCAAATTCCAATAATTAAGCATCAAAAAAGTCAGTTTGAACTTTCTTTCCGCCATAAGGATCCATGTATATTTTCGAAACTTCAAACAGGTATTGCTAAAAATAGCAAAAACTGCACTGATGCGCCTTGTCCTCAAAGCCCCTCGATATACAGCGATCAATTGGACTACATTTTGAATTTAGGAACTTTCATTTCGGACTAATTTGTAAAAGCACTTACGTGCACGAAAAAAACAACGTAGCCCTGAGCCCTAACCCTCAAGATATCCATGGCGCCACGTAAAGGCAGCAGTGCTGAGCCTTACAGCTTTAGAGTCTATCCCAACTGACTTTAGCTGGCGCTATTTTACTAAAAGTGTTAGGGCTCAACGTTAAGTTGTTTTTCAGATTGTTCTTTGCAGATAAGTGCTTTTACCAATGAGTAAAAAATTGCACTTCTAAATTGCAAAATGTAGTCCAATTAGTGGCTAAAATCGACATCTATAAACCTACAAAAATGTCCCCGTTTTTGGAAGGACTGGGACTCCATTGAATTGTAGTGAAATTAGAGTCGTGTAACGAACCTAACTCGAAATATATCTATCGATTAAATCCTGTAATCTACGGTGCAGAATCCATCCATGACCTCGAGGATAGTTCTCGCGATTTTCTTAACATTTTCGGAATTTAAGTCCCTAAGAGAAAAATCCAGGTGGCCATTTTTAGATCGTGGTAGATAAAGACTCATTAAGACCCATAAAACACACGTTCACAGTCTAGCAATCGAATCCTGAAGCCTCCCAAGCAATCGGTGTTTACTCTCAATAATTCCCCAAGAATTGATCCCACACAAAAATGGTTTCTCCTGCGTTTTTCTCAAAAATGTTGTGAAATATTTTCGTAATACAATGAATATTGTCCGAATGAAATAGCTACTAAACTGGTAATTTTCAACACATTTTTCGAATCATGACAACCGTTTCACGATTGAGAAAGTAGTCGATGAGCCTTACCGCGTAGAGCAATCCATAATAAACCTATAGTTTGTATTGCAAAGTGTATTCATTTAAATTGGTGCCATCACTCTTCTGTAAAAACTGTTAATTGAATAAAAATTTAGACGTTAGTGCACTGATAAATCTCTATAATTGATTATTATTATTTATTCTTGTATAGTTTTGTTTTCATGTTTGAATGTGCTTTATGCGAGCACTTGAAGCTTTTCGGTAAACCAAAGTTCCTATTGTGTACATAAAATATTTTATCTTGATGTAATTATTTTACACCTCAGTATAAATATTCAGTCTTCACTCGTATCTTAGAACTCAAGTTAAAGTTGTATAAGTGACCCATCATTCCATCTAAATTATTCATCTCTGAAGTTGTTATGCAGTGGTAAAAAAACTACGTGTAAATAATGTAGGTATCCTAAATTTGCATCTTTATTTTTAAGCAAGTTAGTTTCAAAATCAAGAGTAATACAATCTTCTATTCGATTTAATCTGTGTTTTTTCCTAAACCTCTATAAAGTAAGAAATAACCTTAATAAGCTAAGCTAAAAAAAACGATTAAACTTGATTTTACTCTTCAACATTTTCTTATTCAAATGATCAATTATGAAACAAGAGCGATTCAGGAGTAGTAGTTAGTAGAGGCAGAGGATAGCTGCTTGCAGCAGTTTCAAAAATTCATCAGTTTCAAGTTGATCACGATGTTCCGCCCTTATTCTCACCAGTTCGCCTTCAATAAGCTGGTAGGCAATTTGAGCGTCTCAGGAGCAGTAATAGTTGCTTGCAGCAGTTTGAGTGTTCCATTGGTTTCTTTTGCATGAGTTTTGCCAAACCGCCTTTACGGAACTTGATTTTTCGACAGAATACTACCCTTTGAGAGTAGAAACATTGTACTATACTGAGCGAGTGTACCAAAATTGTCATTTAACCTATGAATATCTCATTTAGTAAAGAAAAATAGAATGTTTCTAGCCTCCTCGCCCAGCGTAGGATACTTTCCCAGTGACCATATAGAACATGGGTTAATTTTTTCGGACAAAAATGGGAAGAATCGTCGAAAAAATCAAATTTTTCATATTCTCTCAAAACTTGACTTTTGGCGATCTCGCATTTCTTTAAGTAAACCGTTCAATTATGTGTCTTATTTGCTTAAAAATATTTGCGACGGATAAAAAAAATTGCCCTTGAATCATAACTATACCCCCCTGAAACTTGCAATTATCAATAAATCTGATTTTTTAAAAAAAACCTGAATAAATTGAGCGTATTTAAATCAAAAAGAACTATCTCTATCTTGACTTGACCCCTAAGACCTGTAAGAATCCAAGCCTGGTAGGGCCCATGTCAAAACAGAGATAGCTCCTTATGATTAAAATACGTACAATTTGTATGATGAGTCTAATAGCTGGACCAACTTTCATGAAACATCGACTATTTGAAAAGTTCATTTTCCATTACTGCCGTACTTAGGAAGAACGCCGTATGTGCCATCAAGCTGCGCCAAGTTTCCTTCGAATAACAACGGTTACTCAGGAAAATGTGTGAATATTTCCTCTTCGATTTTTCGGAGGATTACATTCGAATTTGATCTAAAAAGTCCGAAAATTTCAAGGAAAAATATTCATATAACTTTCTTGGAAAGGAGATATTTTTGAGAGGAAATTTGGCAACATTCTAATACGCATACGCCGTTTTCCTTAGCTCGGCAGACTTCTACTTTCTGTTGATGTTTTCTTTTTGTCTCACATATTAACGTACGAGGGCTGTCCCAAAAGAAACCGGACTTTTGTCATAGAAGGCGAACCGAGCGTCGTAATGAAGTTTTCTTGGGCTTGTTTGAAAGCTGATAAGCTACTGGAGATGCTGGTCTTTACAGAATGCAAAAATTCGTCTTGGTAAGGAAACTACACCCTTTGGAATGAAGGAAAGTCAAACTCGAGTTGCGATTTTTATCTTTATTTCAAGAAAAATTTAGATACAACTTAAAAAAAACCCAGGTTTTAAGTTAGAAACTTCGTTGCTCTCTTATTCAAATGCTTAAAAATAAGGAAATTAACATTTTAAGCAGCTTACCAAGTCATCACCTATCCCCTTCAAAATACTAGCCAGCTTTGTCGATGCATTTTTGCCACCGTTTCTTCAATTGGGAGAAACACTGTTGGAAATCCTCAGGTTTGAATGATCGCAATTCCTTCAAGGTGTTCTCTTGAATTCCCGGAATGGTTTGAAAACGTCGACCTTTCAAGGTAGATTTAAGTCGTGGAAATAAGAAAAAATCACACGGAGCCAGGTTAGGTGAATAAGGGGGATGAGGGAGGACACTCATGGCATTCTTTGCACAAAATTCGCCAATTTGGAGGGATGCATGGGCAGGTGCATTATCGTGATGCAGAAACCAGGAATTCTCTCTCCAAAGCTCAGGCCTTTTTCTGCGGACATTTTCGCGTAATCGTCTCAGAACACCATTGTAATATTCGCGATTGACAGTTTCACCTTGAAGGAATTGCGATCATTCAAACCTGAGGATTTCCAACAGTGTTTCTCCCAACTGAAGAAACGGTGGCAAATATGCATCGACAAAGCTGGCTAGTATTTTGAAGGGGATAGGTGATGACTTGGTAAGCTGCTTAAAATGTTAATTTCCTTATTTTTAAGCATTTGAATAAGAGAGCAACGAAGTTTATAACTTAAAACCTGGGTTTTTTTTAAGTTGTATCTAAATTTTTCTTGAAATAAAGATAAAAATCGCAACTCGAGTTTGACTTTCCTTCATTCCAAAGGGTGTAGTTTCCTTACCAAGACGAATTTTTGCATTCTGTAAAGACCAGCATCTCCAGTAGCTTATCAGCTTTCAAACAAGCCCAAGAAAACTTCATTACGACGCTCGGTTCGCCTTCTATGACAAAAGTCCGGTTTCTTTTGGGACAGCCCTCGTAGTATGATAAAACGTGAAATAATTAGTGCTTTTGAAGAGTTCATTAATTTTAATTCTGAGAGTGTGACAACTTTTTCAATAATGCCAACCAAAAGTGACTCACTGACCGCTAAATGTTAACTTTTTTGGCTCATACTTTCCCATTATTACAAATGAATTATGGGGATAAAGATGATGAAGAAATAGTTTCTTCTCACTCACCAGGAAACGGCTCCCACTCATCGCAGCTCTCATCTCTGATCCGAAGTCAAACCCAAGCGAAGCTAATCGTTCGAAAGAATCGTGAGAGGAAGAAAGGCAAGTCCCGACTGACTCGTTGGCGGAATCTCTAGAAAAGGGTTTGACCAAAATATTTTGGCACATTTTGACAAATCGATCTATACCCAACCCTTTCCTTTCACGCTATAACTTGGGCTCCATGACCAAGCGGTCCTCAGCGAAAGTGATTTTGGCGGAGCGTCGCGCCGCAGACGGATTTTCTTTTGTTGGGTTTTGTTCTTTCTTTACTCTTCCGAGTCTGTCGGTAAACAAATGCCTATTG